GCAGGAATGATGCAAGGAAAGGAGAAGAAAATTCTTATATCGCAATTTCGTGCTTTTTATGGGGTCTTTCAAGAAACCAAACGTTCTGCAAAGCATAAAAAGGAATCTGATAAGATAAAAGCTGATAGGCTAGCTGACCTGATCTACGTAAAAGAGCCTCATCCTATTCGCCGGGATTTTCACCATTGTTTCCAGCTTGGTTTTCAATTCAAAAACCGTCCTGTACACGTCTATGGATCGAACCTACAAGCACCACATTTATAGCATTTTCAGTGATTAAAGCAGAAGAACCACGCCTTTCTTTGCTCGATTTCGCGAAATTCTTTGAAACTCTGTAAACCTATCCCCTCCTCTTTTCTCGAGTAAATAAACCGAATAAATCGCAGATAAAATATAATATCACAGAAACTACGCAGATAATTATCGGATTTCAAACAAGTGGTAAATTTACCTCAACCAGGTCTCCGTAAGTGAACGTGACCTTGACCCTTTTCTCAGGCGTCAGGTCAACGTGTACCAGCGGATCCAGCTTTCCGTGAATAGCTACCAGCTCGGAGTACCTGAAAACGAAGATGGAATAGGGTCAAGCGGAGATTCGTACCACCGGGGACAACTATGGCCGTGAAACTAGAATAGCTTTATGGGTTCTAGTTCAAACTAGAATAGATCGAAGCATACACCGAAATGGGAACGGGAACTTGTTGCAGAAATATTTATGCTCGAGTTAACATCTGAACATTAACAGAATAAACATTAGGCGAATACATAGGCTAAAAGAAGAAAATGGAAATCGTTAGAATGGAATTGAAATGGAGAAACGGGAACTGAATGTAAATAAAACTATAAAAATCGAGACGTCATCGTGGAAGATCACGCAAAACAGCTCACCTTTCGGGCCTGTCCGCTTCCGGTTTGTCCATGTAGTACCGAATGAAGGCTCTCTCGGCGTCCTCGCGCTCCTGAGAGGATATCACGCCGCCGCCATTTAACGTTTCAACATTTGGAAGTCTGGCGATCAAAAGCTGCCGCCTCTCGTGTTCAGTGTATTCTCGAGGACTCTGTAATTACCCGGTAATTTTTAGTCTGTGAGATCTCTTAATTGTACAACGGTATCTATATTTATAAAATATCGTTTTGCACATTTCGCTTACATTAACATCTAACAGAATTCCTGAAGCTAATGCTAGCAAGTACGTAACGTATAGCAATTGTAATTGTCTAACAGAGCGAAAAAGTTATTTCGAAAAATTGTGCACTCGGGTCCGTTTAGACCGGTTGATTTCGTGCCAACGTTTACTTCTGTAGAGCTAAAACTAACTGGCTCGAAGTGGCGCATACTAGATCAATCTGTCTTAACGGTTTTACATCTTGGCGGCTTCTTTCTTTTTCTACTTCCTTCGATCGATCATTTTAACTGGTCGATTTACTAATGTGATGTTAGTAATGTTTTAAAGACGATAAGCGAGACAGACGCATTTTTACCTCGAAAAGAGGGCAGCCCTGAATCCTCAGAGATTTCAGCGCCGGAAACCTGGCTAACCGTTCTACATCGTCCCACGTGGACAAGAGCGTACCGTTCACGTTTAGGAACCTGAGTTTTCTGAAAGGATCATGAGAGGATCTAATGGTTGTGCCGCTGGACTCTGATTCCGACTCGAATCTGTCGTAATTCACCTTTCCCTCGTTGAGTATCCTGTTCCCCTTTTCATCTACCAACGTATTCTCTTCGTCGTTCAGGCTGTTCATATTCTCGTTATCTTCGCTCAAATTTTCGGTCTCTTTTTTGGGACACATCTCCTCGTTCGAGTTCCTATTGTTTACAAGAGCCAATGACCTAATCGGACACTCTGCTAGCACGAGACTCTCCAGATTCGGGAAGATGTAGCCAAGTTTAGAGATTTCGTTCCACACTTCAACGGGATTCCCGGTGAAATGGAGTTTCTTCACCGAGGTATTCTTGTTTTCAGACATCTGATAGTCCAAGTCAACTGTCTTGTACTCGTTCAACGACAAATGGAGTTCCTCCAGATTATGGAGCAAATGAATCAGCCCTTGGACCGTCGACCAGGTGACTCTGGTGCCGTTCAAAACCAAATTTTTCAATAGATCGTAACTCCCGTGCTTGATCTCGAGGACCTCGGCCAGGCAATTGAAGCTAAGGTTGACGAATTTGATCTTCGGCATGTGCTGCAGAATATCGAACACCTCGGTCCATTGGGACAGTTTGTTCTGCGCAAGGTCGAGCTCCTCGACGTTCTTGCATTTATTGCGGAGCTTCTCGGCGTCATTTCCAGCGGACTCGATGTCACAGTCCTGCAACACCAGCAACGCAGGCACCGTATGACGGGGTGATTTCTTTGGAATGAAAATGCTGACCGAGAGGGCGGCCTTCGGCGAGCTCGATTCCGTCTCCTCGTCCGTGAGGGAGCAGTCGGTCGTTGAACTGCCGTACTTTAGCTCCAGTGCTTCCAGCAACGACGGCATACTTACTGCATTCTGAAACCGAGCATCACAGATCATTACACTTGGTATCCCATACGTGTATATTGACTCTAACGGATATACATAAATTTTGCTCAATTAATTTTCTACATTCGAACCTCTACATTACTCTTACTTCCTACGCCATTATCGCATTTTTCTCACATTCATAGTTCTCTAGAAATTCTCAAGTACGCCATTGTTCCCGGAACACCCCGTCTTACTTTAATCTATCCATTCTACCGTAACACCATTGACCCGATCATCATCTCGACGAAGAACCGACTCGCGAAACCGTTCGACAGAGACGAGACAAAGAGAAGTCTTTGGCGGCAGAGCACAAGGTAGCTTTTGTTAACCAGAAAAGGAAGAAAAAAAAAGAAAAAACGAAGAAAATGAAGAAAGGGGCAACAGCAGTTGGAGGCACGGAAAAAACTCACGGATCGAGCAGATCCCCAGGGTCGACGTCGGACACACGGAATATCTGGTCTGACCATATCCGTTAAGGTCACAATATTGTCTTTTTGCGCAACGGAAAACCGGTACCGGTTCCCTTGTCGCTGGAAAACGATTCCTCGACCGAACGGGCTTCACCCACGCGATTCTCCTATCCGCGACGCAATTGGGATCCGTTTTATTCCCACCTCCTCGAACAAAGATCATTCCCAAGCATTTCTCGTCTTCGTTCTCGCTGATCGATTCTTTCGATCAATTTTACGCTCGACGTTCTAGCGGCATGAGACTTTCCACCGTTCTGTCTTGAAAGTCACCGAGGGAACCAATCTAAACGCTGGTTACGTAGACCTAGCCTATAGTTCGCGCTGGATGTTTGACGAAATCGCTTTACAACGGTGTGGTAGAGCCCATTTAAACGTGTTTGACTTTCACCAAACATTAAATTGCATCGGTTGTTACAAATAAGTATACGATTCCTGAATCGCTTAAAATCGATTTTTCCTTATGCTATGGCAACCTCAGAGGTGGGTGGTTCAGAATTCTGACAGTAAAACGATGAATAAATCACGAGGTGAAAGATAATGTACGCGTAATGACAAACAACAAAGGCAAAGAGGAACCGGGAATTACATAGAATGGAATGCGGCAGTTTCTACTGGAAAAAACCGAGAGAAAGAAAAACTAAATGCGTACAAGTGCAACGAACTGCGACGAGAACGATTACAGAATATCGCAAGAGTCGACGACGGCCGGAGGAAAACGTTGCGTCAATTTGGCGGAGATCCGACGTGCCAGAGGCCGAAAGAAAAACGCGTTCATGAGGCTTGCTTGGAGACAGGCCAACTCGTGCCGTTTCCATTTACACGAAACTTTTCAACTATGGTTCGCCGCTGTGTGTATACGTGTACATGTGTCCGTTGCACTGCCTTGCGCTTTCTAACGGCGAATTTACCTCGTTACATCGCGAGCAACCTGCCGGACTCGAGAAAAACTAGCGTCCTGTCTATCTATCTCGCTCATAAGGGGGAGGAAATGCACGCAACAGTTTCATCCCCCGTGTAAAATCGCTGGACAGAGCGGAGAGACAAAGGTCCCTGCGATCCGCTCGACGCATGGCAGTGAACCGACATAATAGTCGTTGCATTATACTCCCCGGCTTCCCCTACGTAATCGCGATATCGGTTCAACGGCCATGCGAAATTAACTTTCTCCGGCACGGGTCTGCCAACGAGAAGCCCACTAGGAGCAGCGTGGTGCACTGTGTTACTACATACTAGACAGATTATTAGCGATGTGCTCGAACCGCTTCCAAAACCGATTCAACTAGTTTAGGATCCTGACCTCTGACTACGTTCGATTAACCGGTTTCTTCGGTACACTAATTAATGGTTCAGTGAATGGACAGCGCATGCTGGATACAATAGCGATTAATCGGTATGACGAAACTGAATAGACACTGATATAATTAACGAGCACTTGAAGCTGTTGAAGATACTTGAGGCTGACTTTATATCTTCGGTTCACGTTCGCAGGATATTTTAGTGCGTTACGTCGTGAAAACCAATCGACAGAGGGCAAATAGAGGTTGCCTCTTATTTCTGCGCTTTTCGCTTCTATAATTCAGTGTTGACCGTTTCAATTAACTGAAATGTTAAGAATTTGTATTTTATTTGAATTTTAAAGTTACCGTTTAATTTAAAAGTTTTCAACACCTTGACTGTATCGGTCAATTTTATAGCGTTCAAGTGATTCTAACAGCGAATTGCGTGGTTCGTGTGATTTGGAGTTGCCATTGTTGACGGTGCAACTGAAATCGGAACAACAGGTCGATGCAATTAGTCACTGGATACCGGATGACTTGGAAACATAGAAGGTCCCTCACAGTATTTCCTTTTCAGGTGGAGGGGTCGAGGATATAAGTTAGGAACGGTTCATTTGTCCGATTGATATCTGAAAATTATGCATGAAATTGTTAGAAAAAAGTGAAATGAAAGTATGCGATTTTCGAACCAACAACCGATATACAAACTGATTTTAGCAAAGTTATACAATGCAGCGCATTGCATCACATAGTTGCAATGTTTGTTAACTGGTCTAACATCGAAGCACAGTAACAATACTAAACGCGAACTAGTTACTTTCTCTTCGACCGATGATTTTACGTACGAACTATTCGTACTCGTTAAAATAACGTCTGAATTCAAGCGACTGTCCGTTGAAAACACCGATCTGGCTGCAAACGGTTAAAATATAATTGTGTAATGTTTTTAATTTTTGGGGGGAAATTTTTCAAACTTTAAATAGTCGAAAATTTACTAAGTTGAAAAATCGAAGATTCGAAAATTCAAAATTTTCGAAAGTCAAATTCAACGAGATGGAGGAAACGGTCATAGAGTTAACAGGTTAAAGTTGGGCGAGCGTGCAAGTGGCCTGAACAGCTGACGATTCACTGAGTTCCGGTGGCAGTTTGGCGATATTAAACGAATTTACGCGGTCTCCACACGTGGTAACGCACAGCTAAATATACGCTGCTAGTGGCGGTTACGAAATGTCAAGCAGACGTCGAGTACTGGGTCAGTCGGAAAGTTAGGTTAGTTTGTGCGGTGTTTCCCAATAATTGATTAGTTTCGAGGACGAAAATATCATTTTCCAAAGAATATCGAATCTCTGCGTGTTAAAACTATGGAATAGAATAAATGCAATAGTTGTATCGTTAGCCTTACGTGGTTTAAAGACTTAGAAAGTTGTCGAGAAATACGAAACGGAAAAGCTTAGGGGAGAGGCCCTCTCAAATCGGAGAAATATCTCTGCTACGATTTTCCTGTAATGATTTTTATTCGAGTGTTAGGAAATAATAAAAACTGATAAACGATGCTTTCCAGGCTGCGGCGGAAATAAGAATACAAGGATCTTTACAATAGAACATATGATTTCCGTTTCGTAGTGAAGAAGATCATGTTCCGTTAGATTCAAGAGGCTATCGAGAAAATCGATGATGAAGATCTATTCTTTGCTCGACGCGAAGCTGGTAGAAGGAAATATTGACGAAAGTTCGCTGGTGGCTGGTGTATACTGCGCAAATGCTCTCCCGCCTCTTGGAATATTACTCGGCTGTCCAAGGTTGCCGTTCGTTCTGCTCACGGCTCGAGCATTATGCACGTGTATAGATATATCAGCCACGCACTTATAGCAATATACCTCCACACAGACATACTACTACGATACACGCGTAGCAGATCTATCTCTCTAGCGGGTACACACATTGTAACCAAGAGGAGAATACACACAGCGTTTCCCAACCTTTTTCTTTATCCTCTTAAATTGCTTATTGGCCATGTGTATTGCGCGCTCATGCTTTTTCCACCAATAACACGATGAAACGCTTTAATTATCGAATAATTCAAGGTTATGTGTACTTCACAGCGAATAACAAAAATATGAAGGGAAATATAACTATGACTTTCATACTGCTTAAAATAATAAAATGTTTCAGAGACAGAAACATCGAATATTTGCTAAAATCGTCATTTTTCTTTCAGATCGCTCTACAGGTTGAAAACGATACGATTTAGAAAGATAGAGGACGCACGCGACGAGATTGGGAAACTCTGCGCGCGCATTGCACCTATTCTTTGTTCGTTTCTCGGTTTTTAAGAGCATGTCTCGCATCGGTGCACGGCAATTATCGACGTGTGCGTGAAAATCGACAAGATCGAGTACCGTTTATTATACCAGAATATACACGCATGTCATCAGTACCAGGGCCTCTCCCTTCCGAAATAACGACGACGATTCGGTAACGCTGGTCATTCGTATGACACGGATCAACGATTTAACGTGAGCTCAATAGCAGCCTCTCACGATCTCTGTGGTTGAATTGATCGATTTCTTCTTCAATACGTGGAATCTCACTTTCCCTAAAACTATATTTCTTTTATCTTTATGTTTTCGTTTTTACTAACTGCGAAACCTGTTTTCAGAATCAGCCGATGTATAAAACGCACTTACCAGGTGAATCTCATTTAAAAAGGAAAAAAATGATTATTCATCCACTCGGAGAAATCACTTTCCTCATAGTGAAAAAAAATACTGCAGCTAGTTCCCGCTTCTTTTAAAGCGTTCGTTGATAAAACAAAAACCATTCGTAACGTTTACATTAACATAAATAAGCATAGTAACTACTTCCCATTTCGTGATATATATACTATAGATATGGAGGCTAGTTATAACAAATTATTATCTTTTGAGTTAAAAATAGATTTAAAAATTGATCATTTGCAAACACATTAAAAATACGTCCAAGCGCGTTACTTTCTAATCGTTTATTTATATAAGTATTTTCGGCATCAAAACGAGTTGACTATAATCGTAAATGTTGCAGAAGCGTTATTCCCAGAGCTGAATCGCTTTAGTTTACATGACCTGTATCTTCCGCAAGCATGTACAGGGATATAAAATACTACAAAATTCATCTACTTGAAAATTTTCAACCAACAATCTCTAAAAAAAATGTATCTTTTCAAGAAACATAATGTATGACTCATAGTTCAACGAATGTGGAAATAACGCTTTATCATCAACATTTATCTAATCAGTTTCATAAAGCAAAAGAATTGAAATTTTCCGCAGATAACTATGACAATTCAACAACTACGACGAAAGAATATAATTATCGTGGATGTTTGGGAATCAAGAAATTGATGGCGTAAAATTTTTATTCGGAAAACCGTTTAATGCTGCATAAATTTTGCGCTTCCTTATGACCGAACAAACGTGTTAAAGTACTGTTCCTTTCAATTGCGGTGGCCTTGAGGTTAGTAGATAAGGAACTACGCAATTCTCACGATTAGTGTCTCTTTGTTTGAACTTCTTTTACGCTCTACTATCGTCAGATATTAATGCCTGTCGAAACATATTGCAAAGGTTAATAAAAATACGTTTATAAAATATTCAATTTGTTTTTTCAGCTGCCACAATGTCCAACGTATATCGTGCGAATGCTTTTTTTCGGGAAAGTCGTATTTGCGAAACATACTCAAACGACACCTATAACCTATAACCAATGAACCATTGCTTCCACTGGCGATAAATCAGGCAACCTTCTAACATAACACGAACAAATGGTTAACAAATTTCACAATACAGGTATTAAACTGAAAACAACGGTAAAAATAGGAGAAATAAGAAAGTGATTCCGGGAAACAATAACGGTAATAAAAATACGACACTAGCAGCTGTCAATGCGTGCTGTTTAGAAGCGTAGATTGTCGTGCGTGTACAGCTGATAGTGATTATGTAAGGTTTGAGCATACAACGCGTAGCAAAATACTGTCTAATGTAAAATCGTACGATTATGCCACCAAATGAAAATTCTCGAAAAAATTAGATTATTTTAAAGCAATGTATTTTTTCTTCATGTTTGAATTGTACCTTTGACATATCGAATACATATCTTTTAATATACAACACTTGTAACAGGAATGCAAGTTTGAAGAACAATTAGAAAGTTTGTTAGACTATTTAGTTATACAAAGAGAGGAAAACGTTTGTTACATTGCATGTTAGATGGATCGATCATGCACAAGTTTGCAAAGATTGCATGAGAAGAGAATGAAGACGCAGTATAAGAATATCACGAAGAAATCGGGTCAAGGATCACCTTGCTACTGAATGACAGATACGATATTACTTCGTATTTCGGAAAAAACAATACAAGTACTCACTGTTTCCTCGTCTTGCTATGTGCTTTAGTCCTCCGATATCACTCGGGAATTCGGTGGTTAGCAATTGACAAGTCTCCGAGAAATATCCTGGTTAGATGCACTCACGATTTTTGTCTGCGATCATGAAGCGAGATCGGTCTGTTGGTTGGTCAAAAAGGGTTAGAAAAAAAAAGTGGTGTCGCTAACGGACACACGAACGTGCCCCGCTCGCTGTCCACCGTTGAACTGATTTCTGGCTCCTTTGTTTAGTAAACAGAAACAGCTGAGCCACACTACTAGTTACGGCGGTAGAGGTGGCGGGAGCTCGATCCACTCTTCCCGCACACGCTCACTACACTACGCAGGCGCATTTCTTCCAGACCATCACGTGGCCTTGCATGCTCAACCAATTGGTGAACCGCATTGGACAGTACCGTATTGTCATATTGCATTGCGAAATTAAAACAATACATAAAATAAAAAATACCTAACTAACATGTAATATCATAATCGTTAGTGATATTTAATTTCGGTTAATAAGGTCTCTGCGTGATATTTATACAGCATTGCGATTTTTGTACTATTCATTTATAATTCCCAATGTTACAGGAATGTTTGATTAAATAACCCAAATAAGGCGAGTTAGAAATTTCGCTGTCAAGGGAAAAGGAACTGATTAACGTAATGGAAAGAGAATATCATAGATGCATTAATTACGAAACGTGGATCTGTAATTTATCGATGATACATATAACTCAACTTACCGAAACGTCGAACAACCATACTAGTATCATAAAGACATGTTATTTTTGGTCATATAATACGTAGTTATTCGAATGAGGATTAAAAGTTAATGAAGAATGGATTACAAATGAATTTTTTTATATAAAATGTATAAACGCTAGTAGAAGCAAAAGGAAAGGAGGAAAATTAAACGAAGTTGTTGGTAATGTAATTACGATTAGTAAATTTAGTAATGAGACTCCTATGAAATAATCGATTTATCGTTAACCCAATTTCGTCCCTTAAACAATATCATATTATTTATTGATACATAGAATTTATCAATAATACCATTAGCTAACAGTATTACATTTGCTTCTATTTCCTCGGAAATTGTCATTTATACGACCCTTGTTTGCGAAATTATAATACATATGTATCAAAGAGCAGTTTGCCTTTCTTAATCAATCATTTGTGTCCTTTCTCTTTTGTCACATTGTATACATCGCAATTGATTACTATTAGATCACAATTACAGATCATACATACACGTATAATTACACATTACGACATTACATACATGTATTCCTGTATATATATATATATATATATATATATTTATTTATAAATATATAATTTATAAATATATAAATATATATA